AGCCCAGTTTTACAACACAAAAAAAAAAACCCACAAACAAACCAACCCCAAACCCAAACCCTGCTATTTCACCTTCAAATTTGCTTCCAGCAGATCTCAAGGTCAGAGGCCGACGGACGCTCCTAACGCTATGCCAGCGCTACGGCACGTCGCGAAGGGCATCGTGGGCAGTACGGAAGCGTTACAGGCTGCGGTCGGAACCAACCCGAGACACAGGACTTGTGCCTTACCTTTCGTCTCTGCTATACATAGGTAAGAAACTGCGACACCAGGAGTAAAGCCTCACCGACAGCGCAACGGCGTCTGACAGGCCGCTGTACGGTTCAGAGGAGGCAGAAGCGGTCCGTATGGTTTTTCGGCGCCAGGGCCGTGCCGACGTCCTTTCCCCTTTACAGACAATTTACCACGTAACGGGAACGCGATGCCTTTCGTTTGCGGAACATAAAACGCGGCAGCTGAACTCTATAAACTGCGAGCGGGGTAGGCATTCGGCACTCAGAGGAATCTCGATGGGGGGGAACAGAGTGCAAGTCCGCTATTACGTCACCACCATTAAACATATGTAAAGACTGCATAAAACGGGCTATTTGACGTCAGCGACTAACTGCCCTACAGATGCTCCAGACACGCCGACGGAAGGCGGCGCTTGCACCTGCACATACACTCCTTCGGAACAAACCCGCGCTGTAACTGAAGATTGGGTTCAACTGTTTACAGACAGAAACGCAACAGTCCTCTCCTTTTCTCATTAGGTCACGCACAATTAGTGTAACAGTCAGCGAACGGATGGCTTTGAAGCGAAACACGGGCTTTGCGACCCAGGAAGCGCCCCCGACCTCCTCGGTCCAACGTGCAGGACCTGCACCGCGTCAGGCTGAATCCAGGAGTTCCAGAAGAGCGCCGACTGCACCGAAATAACCCTGAAGAGCAAACAGACGGGAATATCGATTAAAACCTCAAACCACGGGCACGCGCCTGAGGCAAGAACATTACCCATGCGGTGTGATTTTAACGACTCGTAAAAGATGGTGGGAAGAAATAACTACAGGTCGGTACGTTACAAAACAGACTCTAACTGTAATTGCTACATGGGAAAGCAGAGCTGCACAGAATCACCTCTACTGTCAATGGTCTTAAAAGAAAGTTCACAAGCAAGACGAGCTTGGTAGTAAACAATTCTTATATTAACTACTGGAACGATACACACGTTTTTTGTGGCCCTACGCTGGGCACTGCAGTAACTGTGGCTGTAGCAACAAAGCACCGGGAACCTGCTGCACAGTGTGTAACACCGACAGCTACGGACTCCAGGCGGCTGTTTCCAGAGCCTCCAAAGGCTTTTCCTTTTTACACGAGACAAAACAGAAAGTAATTTCACCTCATGTTCCAAGAAAAGTGCTTTTAACTGTCCCTTCGACCAGTAGTCCAAAGCATATGCCAGAAGCCTCATTGAAATGGTATTGATCCGAAGGAAATTGCCAATGAACACCACCCGATTGATGTTCTGCAAGTATTAAGGGAAAAAAAAAAAATAAAAAGGAACATTAAGGCTAAATTCCATTTTCTGCTTGCGACGATGAAAGCCCCACCTTAGAGTAAGAAGAAAGAAGTTACACTTATGGTGCCTTGTAAAAATGTCACGTGCAGCTTTTCAAATACATTTTCCGGTGAGACTTGATGAAAAACAACCAGCTGAAAGCGGAGGGAAGTCACCGCTCGACACTAAAGCAACGAGATCCAGAGAAACCGCATCACCCCAAATAGCTGTTCCTGGCAGCTAAGGAGCGTAACCGCCTCGGTGAGTGGGGATGGGAGCTGCGGAGAGAAGAGTTATCACGCATTTGCAGCTTTCTGAATTTAGAATCTTAAAACTGGACCCAGAAGAGCCGATCTGCAAGCAAGAGATGACACCAAGCCGGCTCGGGGTCTGGCAGCAGCAAGAGACGGTTCAGAAGAGCAAGGTGAGATCAGAAAGGGCGCGCTGAGATGGTCAGGAGCTGCACTGGGAGGGGCCGGAGACCACGCCGAAAGACAAAAAAAACTGTACTTGGCCCTGGTGAGGCCGCACCTCGAATACTGTGTTCAGTTTTGGGCCCCTCACTACAAGAAGGACGTCGAGGTGCTGGAGCGTGTCCAGAGAAGGGCAACGAGGCTGGTGAGGGGTCTGGAGAACAAGTCTGATGAGGAGCGGCTGAGGGAACTGGGGTTGTTTAGCCTGGAGAAAAGGAGGCTGAGGGGAGACCTCATCGCTCTCTACAACTCCCTGAAAGGAGGTTGTAGCGAGGTGGGGTCGGTCTCTTCTCCCAAGTAACAAGCGATAGGACGAGAGGAAACGGCTTCAAGTTGTGCCAGGGGAGGTTTAGATTGGACGTGAGGAAAAATTTCTTCACCGAAAGGGTTGTCAAGCACTGGAACAGGCTGCCCAGGGAAGTGGTGGAGTCCCCATCCCTGGAGGTATTTAAAAGACGTGTAGATGAGGTGCTTAGGGACATGGTTTAGTGGTGGACTTGGCAGTGTTCAGTTAGCGGTTGGACTCGATGATCTTAAAGGTCTTTTCCAACCTAAACGATTCCATGATTCTATGAATTAAGTGACTGCTGAAAGTGTCGGACAGGATCTGCAGAACATTATAAACATCCACAACTCTGTCAGAAAGCGGTACCAGTCAGGTCATTTTAAGACAGTTTTTTTCAGACTCTTCCACACTACCCGGAAATCCACCGGTGTAACTACAGCCTTTCTAGCTCAGGAATTTGAATAGAACGGTTGATTTTTTGCTATGAGATCCTTACACTGGCTAGGAACACTGATCATCAAGTGCCATCTCCTCTCTCTCCCCCCAACTCCAGCCTTTGACTCATCATTAAAGAAGCTGAAAGGCTCTCTACTGTTCATCTGGGGGGGGGAGAAAAAGAAGATTTAGAAACCCATAACCAACACAATTCTGAAAGAAAGGAAAAAGACCAACACCAAGTAGTGAGATTTGGATTTAAGTCAGACTTCCAGCCAAACTTTTCAATCCCAAAATAGTTCTCCTGAGCCAAGTGATGAACTCTGAAGCTTTCTTGCTCTCCAACAAGAAAATAATTTTCAGTTCCTCCTCTGACCGAGGAATCAGGATCAAGTCCTACGTGCTCCTTCACTCGCGTCCTTCTACGGATTTCCCTTCCGTCCCCACATTCATTAATGCTTTCCCCTAACTATTCAGCATCCTCTCTGCACTCAGCTGGGTACTCCGGTGAGGACTCAGCAGGTGCGTTGTGGGCAAGGCTGTTTATAATAAAATCTCGCCTCGTTTCAGGAGGAAATGAAGGTAAACCGTAAGCACCTGCCAACAGCGACAGGAGTCGGGTGGATGCTTCACCCCGTCAGCCCACCCCACGGGAACAGGCTCAGAATGGAGTGGAGAGCATGTCTCTGTTCTTTCATAGCCCTGTACAATGCTGCTTGACATGAATGCAACAAGGCAGCACTGTAAAGAAGCTGAAAGCACAGAGATACAGGAACGGCCGTGGAAGCGGTGGGGCCTGACCAAGAAATCGAGAGCAACTCGTAAAAACAACACAGGAAAGGTATCCAGCCTCTACGCCCCTCCGCCCCACCTTTCCTTCTCTCTCAGTGGTCCCAAGAGCCGTAGTTTATCGCACACCTACCGTTCCTCAAACCACTGCAGAGAAGCCGTTTAACTCCTGACGAAGCAGAGGACCGAGACCAACAGCCAAACCCTAATTCATTCACAGCTCTTCCGTTCACAGCACAACGATCTGCCTCAAACTACACAGACGAGCAAGGACAAAATTCACCGAAGAATCCAAAACGAGCGGATGACGACTTACTGAACATCCAAAAAGACGAGTACAAACAGGCATCTACAGAAGCACATGCAGGGACAGAGGTACTGCGTGACAGTAGCACGAGTGATGCTTTAGACAAGAAGCAATGAAACAGATGTCCCCTTAATACCTCATTGAGCGCACACATCCGTGCTATGGAGCCAATGTTATTAGTGATGGTTATTAAAGTAGCCTTCGCGAGGTCCTCTTTGCTGACAGATTCCCGCTTCTCCTTGCTCATCATGTTTCCAAAGCTGTAAAGAGAGTTTTCGGGTTAAAGGTCCGTTTGCATCAGCATTCCAGGAGAAAATGGGAACTGCTAATTTAACCAAAGTGACTCATCTTGAAGTATTTCTTTCTAACTTTAAAAAGCGTTGCTATCAGTAACTTAGACCTGGTAAAACAGAACAGCAGAAGGAACGGTAGCTCTCCTAAGAGACGTAAATCCAGTTTTTCAGCCTTGCAGAACCTCCCATGAAAATAAAAATCAGTCAAGTCATTACCTGGACGCTACAGCCCAGCCCGGCAATCCGAATCGCTCGTAGTCTCCTCCGTAAATGTCCCGCACTAGTTTGTCCACTTTGGTACTGTCTCCGTGGGACGCCATCTCTAGGGCCTCTTCAAAGGTGGAGCAACCGGTAAGAAGGCAGCAGAGACCAAAAAAGGTTCCCCCTCCGAGGCTGCAGCATAAAGCAAAATGAAAGTCACCCGCCTTGCTTCTAAAGAGACGGAGAGAAAGAAAATGGCTCGTTCCGCCGAAAGCTCGGATCACTCAGCTACGCTCGGTCAGCTCAGGTTGCCCCATTCCTTCAGCTCCTTCTCTTTTCAGCGAGAGCAATCTCGGAAGAGCAGCAGTTTTCTTTAAATCTGTTACTTAAAAATAACTTACAGCCTGTAAGGAATCCCACGCCCTCACAGCCTTCTGCAGAGGGCATGTTTCTAAATGAGAAATTCATTTTCTTATTTTACAATACCCACCTTCTTCCCAGCACTCAGAGAAGTCAATCTTAAAATAAATATTAGTCCTGAGGGATAACTGGAGTATTAGGGCACAGCTATTCAGAACTCAGGGGAAAAAAAAACTATGTCCTGTTCACTTTACTGTGCGCACATGCCAACAGTGACGTGTAGCAAGAGTAAGATCTGTACTGTGGGGTTTTTTTAATTATTATTGCTAACTTTCAGGAAATTCAGGAAAGCTTAAAGCCACAGAGCTCTTTGGCTTTGCCTGGCAACAAGAGCCACATCTTCAAGAAGGGTCGCTGCAGCAGTCCAGCAGCTCTCTGGGGAATTACTGCCGTGCCAGCATCCCTTCCACCAAAGTAAGGTGACTTTCGGCAGTCAGGATGCAAATCTCTACTGCTGGGATCAAAGCTAACAGTTGTTAACGTGATCATTATGAGTATATTTGGGATAATCCCAAACTATGGCATCTCTCTGGTGGCAAATAAAACCAAACAGTTCAGAAGCTGTTTTTTCAGTTGCCCTGCTGTAGGGATTAAAGAGACTGGTTGCAGTAAGGAAACCAAAACGTGAAATTCGGAATCTCTCTTCCAAGAGGGATCTTTGTCGGCAGAAATGAGGGACGGCAGTGAAAGCAGCAGCTCAGTCATTCAACTCCCCACCTTTAATGCAGCTTGTCCCTGAAAACGCCGTCGACAATGCAGAAATACATTCCAGATTCTAAAATAAAACTCAAAGTGAATTTACCCCCCCCCAGCACTCACCTGGTGCCCGTTACCCGTTTGTAGTTTTCTTTTGAATACACAGCCAAAATGCTGACCCCTGAGCCAATGTTCACCAAAAGGAGAGGATATGGATTCTCCAGGTTGAACGGGAGCTTCTGACATCTTTCAGCATCCGTCGGGTTTTCAAAATAGTAGCACTCCGAACGTCCATTGAATCCCACTGAATCAATGTACAAAACTCCTTTAATAAGGCAATCGAGTTCATCTAGCTTACAGAGCTGAAGGTCACCCATCTGGCGGGAAAAAATAAAAAAAAAAAAAGAAGAAGGAAGAATATTCAAGAAGTAGCTAGGGATCTGAAGTGTTTACGCTCAGGGCTAGAAAAACGCGTTCCCTGCCAGCTGAATTCAGCTATCTCCACTGCTCCCCGTGGTGGCTGAGAGAGAAGCACAGATCAGAGGAGGGCTCCGTCTTTCCCCGCGCACACGGACTGCTGACTACCCCGGCCCTACAGTGTGCAGACGTGGGAGCGCGGGGAAACGAACAGTTGGATCCGCAGACACCGGATCAACTTCCACGGGCCTGACTGAGGCCCTGACTCTGAGGCATTAGCATGAAAAACAAAGAAAAATGAGAAGGGACTTAACTGTTGGACCAAAAAAAAATCCCCCCCCCAAACCACAACCAAAAAACCACCCAGAAAACAGAGGAAGTTATGAAATTGTTTTCCCCTCGTGTCACTGCCTCGACTGCACAAAAAGCCTCTTTATTTGAGGCACTTTTTCAAGCCCTGGTTAAACGAAGTATTTATCACACGTGTTTTCACCTGTGAACGAGAATCAAACTTACAATGAAGCCACATGATGATGTCAAATCCCAACTACTAACCTCCTTTCAGTTAATTTACCACCAAATCTGACTGAACCTCAATCAGCTCGCTCGCATGTGTGTTAGAAATGAAACCACATGAGCAAAGGAACGATAAAACAAATACTAAGCGTGTGAAAGACCGGCATTGGGGGAAAAAAACCCACAAGACCGAGATCAGCATAATCAGAGATTAATGACACAGAGAAAGTCTTGTAAGAGCACACGCCATGGAAGTTAGTGCATAATTTTAGTTACAGGATTGTTACATGCACTTTCAGGAAAGAAAGTATCCAGATTTGGAGATGCGAACTTGAGTCCACATGCTGTTTCCCGAACCAAGTTTAATTTGAGTTAGGTACACTCTTCCAAAGCTAAGATTTAGAGATGTTTTAGAGTCTGCAGAGCGAGTGTTCTAGTTTTAAGCTTTAAAAAAAAATTTCACTACCAGAGCCTAATCGTATAGAAGCCAAAAATGCATACTGTGCGAAAGTCCTGCTCAAATTTGTACGCTCCACCTCCCGTGGCACATAAGGTAGTATGGAGGCTCGAGAAGTGTTTTTCGCTTCCCATTTGAATAAAAGCAGGCATGTCATGAGTAGGAAAGCGTATAAAGTGCAGATTGCCTTTACGTCCACACAGGGTAAGGTCCTTTAGTTCAAGGTGCACATCCCGAATGCCTGTAGATCCGTAGGCTACATTTGATGTCAGGTATTTGCGGATGCTTTTGAGATTTTCCACTTCCTCCTCCTCCTCTTCAGCGGTGATGTCCTTTGGTTCAAAATAAACAAGTTTGACCAAGGTCCCTCCAATATCCAAGCCAAACCAAGGAAAGACTAAAGAGAGAAGGGGGGGGGTGGAGAAAAAGAAACAGGGTTTGATACTGTCATACCACCAGCAAAACACTTAAAAACTGAATTAATTCATGCAATTCTCTAGGGACTCCAAAATGCAGGCCCGTTTGATCTATTCATTTCTAAAGCGGAAAACAAACGTTAGCAGTCTGGTCTGTCTTTGACAAACGTGGCCGAGACTCCTCTGTACACAGACTGAACTCCTGTTTTGAGACACCTCGTGTTCAGGAGCTCCCAACACCTGATACGCAATCCTCAAAATACTTCCACCACCACCACCGCGCAGCACTGAAGATACGGACAAGCACAGGTCTGACGGTATCCGTACACCCACTAGATACTGCTGCAATTTTAATCCCCAGCTATTTCTTTTATAAAGTTCTGATCCAGAGCCAGAGCCAAGGATAATACCAGTGCTTTTACATCAAAGGGGTGTACAAACGTTAACTAATTACAAGACATAACTGAGGTAGACAAGTAATCTAAGATGCCCCAGGGAGACAAAAACAAATGTCTAATTGGATTATTTTATTAGTCAAATTCCCCCGTGGTACAAAATATGCATTAGTGTCAGGCCCAGCAACATTTACAGCTGTATTAGATAATGAGCTGCTTGGAAATGATCAAGAGAAAACCCTGATCAGATGGAATCTGCGATTAGAGCTGAGAACTGGAACAGATTAATATTACTATTAACGAGCTAAAGGATAGACTAGAGCTAACAAGATGCATCGGCTCCAGAGCAAAGAGAAAAATGTAGCCAGATGTTATGGCTTACGGCAGCAGGATTAAACCCTTACGTTTTTTTCCAAAAAGAAAAAAGGAATGTTTAGAAAATAAACCTGAATGCAGCATAGATGTTACTAACGTTCCTCTGGAAAGAAGGATCTCGGGTTTTAGCAAAATTCTTACATGTCAGAGACAGGCATGATAACGTGCTACTGTCATTTTTGCAATATATGTTTGCTTATCTGCAGACAGATAAGCGTGCAACACGAAGAAGCCCTTGTTCCTACTGCCATTTGAAAGCGGGCACCCCTCCGGTTAAACTCGGGGAAGCAGCAGCCATCCCCAGAACGCAGAGTCGCCCAAGCGAGAGCATGTTCCTTTACATGTCAGAGACAGGCATGATAACGTGCTACTGTCATTTTTGCAATATATGTTTGCTTATCTGCAGACAGATAAGCGTGCAACACGAAGAAGCCCTTGTTCCTACCGCCATTTGAAAGCGGGCACCCCTCCGGTTAAACTCGGGGAAGCAGCAGCCATCCCCAGAACGCAGAGTCGCCCAAGTGAGAGCATGTTCCTTGTCCCCCCCCGTCCCAGCAGCGCAGGAGGTGCACGCCGAGGCCCCGCCGCGCGAGCTGCAGGAGCACTAAGCAGTCAGAGAGCAACACCCAAACACCCAGAGGCAACACTTAAGCAAGCTGGACAGCAAAGAAAGCAACTCAGGGGCAGGAGGGAAACTCACTCCCAGACCAAACGATCTTTGAAAAGCCAGAAACCCGACAGGCAAGCACATGTTTGAAGATGATGTATTCTCCCCTCGGCGGGTTAACTTGGTCGCTGCACAGAGCGGAGGTAAGACAGGCCCTTTCAGAGCATCACAGTTCCCCAGGAGCTGCTAGAGCCATCAGCTACCCACGTTCATGAATAACCACTGAGTTATTTTTATCTATTTCCATAGAGGCCACCCCCAACCATCACCAAAAGAAATCCTGAGAGAAGATGCAAACTCTGTTTTAGGAGGCACGCCCAAATCTCGATCATCCTCTATTTCTAATGCATTTACTTCAAACAAGAACAGACGTAAAAACAACCGTTCACGAATGAGAAAGAGAGAGAGAAATCTGCATCACAGCCCAATGGAGGGAGAAAGCGGGAGCAATTCAAGGACTTCGGACAATTTCTCACTGCGCACTCCTTAAATGAATTTCAGGACTGCAAACTCCATCAGCATTTCAGGATGGGAAGTCTACCAAGTGCTTTACTTGGAGGAAAGCTTAGCATACGCATCTTATTTCAAGACTCCCTCAAGCAAACCTTACTATAGCTAAATTAGACAGTTAAGTTACTTCTCGAGAGAGGAACGTTGGCTGCCCGGGCGTCATCATGCAACGTGAGGAGAACCATACCCCTGGGGACACCAGACCAGGAGGAGCACCCTCATAGGAAGGGGAGTCCAAGACCCCAGAGTATAAGCGAAGGGAAAGGCGGGACAAACTCCAGGATTTCTGTACCCCCAAAAGAAAGGGCCTTGTCATGGAGGAGTGCGGCAACAGCAGCTGAGCTGCTGCATCTTCCCCCGCTGGCAAACAGAAGTCAGAGACCACGACCACTCCAACAGGGAGATGGACGCTCTACTTCTGCGTGGCAGGCATCAGGACAGCAAACAAAACCCACCGAGCGTCCGCTTGCTTCACTCGCCTGCTCTTCTGACACCTTAAACCTAAAAACCTGCGCACAGGCCCACCTGATGCGGTATTACAGCCATCTCCAATGTGGCACATACATCCATACGTCAGCAGTCCCCGTATTAATGGCAGAATAGGAGCCCCTCGAAGTATTTTGTCTTTCTTTGAATCAAAGTCCTAGATTTATCAACTAACTACCGCAGAAAAATGCTTTGAACAAGGATCATGCCCTGCTATTGAGAGAAGAAGCAATAAAAATACCACCAACGTCACACAGGTAAAAATAGGCCACTGGCAGGCAAACCAGAGCCTTCTGCTGCTGCTCCGGTCCCTCCAGTGACTGCAACTGGTAAACACCCCTCTATTTTAATACCCAGTTCATGTATATGATCACTAAAACCAGCTTCCCCACGTTCACTGTGCTCTTCCATACTGCTTAAACCCTGCTGGAAAACTAACAAGCTCTACGCAAGGAAAGGAACAGGAAGAGGCTTCCCACGTTACTCAGCCAAGTCTTCTCCTGTCTGTCATGGTCACTGACATCCCGCACTCCCTTTTCACAGATTTCCCAATCTTAAAAGCACTTGGCTGCTTTGTTGTCTCTGCTCTGACGAAGGGATTGGTTCCAGAAACCTCCTGCCCTGGTGCTGGGAAACCTCCTTTTGATTTCTGGAATGTATTTATTCCTGTCAGGACACGCAATTTTTTTTCTGCATTATGAAGCCTGCATTTTTTTTTCTTTTTTTAAAGCACCCCCACTCTCGTATTTAGAGACAGCAATCCTCTCCCCAACCTCACTTTGCCAGGCTACGCAAGGGTGAAAACAGGGAGAGAGCAGAGGACGGGGTCTCGGAGATGCCCTCATTGAGGTGCAGCACAAAAGCATCCAAAAGTGGTTAAACATTGGAACAGGCTGCCCAGGGAAGTGGTGGAGTCCCTATCCCTGGAGGTATTTAAAAGACGTGTAGATGAGGCGCTTAGGGACATGGTTTAGTGGACATGGTGGTGTTGGGTCGACGGTTGGACTCGATGATCTTAGAGGTCTTTTCCAACCTTAACGATTCTATGAAAAACTAAGGCACGGCGCCCCACTGAAGCCAGGTAACTGAAAATGCCATACAGGCTGCTTCATCGCAAGCTAACAGGCTTCCACTTCAGAGTAGACACTCAGCTGGTAGTACATGCATTTGTTCAGTAGAATAACACTAATTCATTTTAAAGTTGGTTGTGAATTTCACACACCAAGCTCCTACATTCAGGGACACACACACACACACGTGCCCCCTCAGATTTTAGGGCATGAGAATCACCAACTCGGTCCATCAGTTTAGGAAGCTTTCCTAGTCACAAAAAAAAGGTAGCAGCTCCTTAGAAACTTCACCCCAGCTCATTCTCAGCACCCTCAGGACTTCGTTTTTTAGCACCCTCAGGACCTTTGTTTTTTTAATATATATAAATTTACTTTTTATTTAGGTGTTATAGTCGCCACTGAACTAGCAGAACATCAGGCGTGGGGTTAAACCACGCCAGTTATCCACCGTCTCACACGCCAGAAGACACGGCTAACGGGGAAACAGGAACGATGCCTGCAGAGCTTGGTGTAAACTGCAGTCAGGTTGGGCTCAGGGCTTACTAGTCTTCGCTCAGCACCGGCCCCGCTGAATCCCAGCTGGCCGCGGAAAGAACATCCGACCCCCCGTGCAGGGCCACGGCCTCAGACCGGAGCTGGCTCCACACACCCGTGCAGCACCAGCTGCAGAAAACCTCTGCACGGAGCAGCTGGTGTTCTCCATCTGCCAACAGCTCGGCTACACCTTCAGTGAGTCACCAGGGATAAATTCTAAAAGATAGCCTATTAAGGTAATTAACTTCAACCAAATGATTCTTAATTATGGATCTCTCGTTACATACATCCCAGCCACAGGTTACGAATCCAAGGAAGAAGTGTGCTAGCTCAAAATTAAGCACTTCTTTACCATATCGTAAAGGATTTTCTATGCAGTAAAACCTGCACAGAGCACTCAGATAATCTGGGGCAGGGACAAAACTTCCCCTACAGGCCCATTTCTGTAGGAAAGGGGTGTGGCACACAAACAAGAGGAAGAAATTATTTCAACGACGTGGAGAACCGTTTTTTTTTCCCTTACACTTCGAGGAAGTCAGCCAACACGAACATGCAGGGCAGCAACAGCTCTTCCGTATCTGAGAACTAGAAAAATCCCTGCCTTCAAAGGGAGGAAGGAGGAAGCTCTCTTGGACGAACGCCATCACCATCTGCTACCGACATTTCTCTTAAAACACTGGTTTTTCCCAGCATCTACAGTGCAAGTTGAAAGGCATCCAGAGATCTCTCCCTTGCAAGCCTCTGCAGCATTTTTTGCAAGAGAGCTGCTGCAGAAGACGGCAGTTCTAGAGCAGCGCGAGAACTGGTGGCATCCAGGAGCCTTTGGGCAGCCCGGAGGCTGATTTTTCTCAGTCAGAAGCTTCTGCTGAAATAACCAGCGCAAGAAGACGCCAGCTTTAACGGCCAAGGCAGAAAATGCAAACGCTGCCTCTCTTCACCGCCTCCCCGCTGCTACTTGGAGCCCTCCGTGCTGGGAAAGAGCCTCACACGTCCCTCCTTTCCGAGGGCTTACCAGCCTGAGAACGACGGGGAGGATGAGAAACCCGCAGGCAGAGCACGGGAAGGGCACGGCGGTGCGAACCTCTGGACCTTCCGGGAAGCGTTTAGTCTCTCCCTGGGTATTTGGGCACTTACAAGAAAGGCAGGAAATCCTCTTCTCAAAGCCAGAACTGTTCTCCATTCAAAACCTTCTACAGTCTTTTCCTTAACGAAACTCTCTGTATGACTTTGTTAGCACGATGACAGCCACTAACCCCGCTCTCAATCATCGCGTAAGACAAAATAACTCCAACGGTATTCAGCGTGAAAAGTAGCGAGGGTACGAAGAAGGTGACTTAAGGAGCTGGCAAGGTCGTGGCACCACTCAGCAGATCAGGCACACGACGACGAGCCTTGTTTTCATTTGCTTCCCTAACGCAACACACTGCAACAGCAGTTACAAAGCATCCTTAGAGCAAACTTTTCTCCAAGAAAAAAATTCTTCACCTTTTGGCCAGACAAAGTACTGTTCTCCCTTAGCAGAGACACTTTTAAAAAGCAGCTCGATACGTACATTTTCATACATGCGGTTTACATAGGGCTCTTCCTCTTAAAAATAAACTTTCTTCTAAAGGGCAGATCTATGGATACGCAACAACAAACAAAAGACCAGACTCCAAACAATGTTAAGGGCTTACAGCTAGCACTAAATAACCTCGCACACAGAAAAGCTCAGGGATACTAGGTGCTCCCACAGCAAGAGCTGCCACCCTCCCTTCATCTTCGAATCCCTTTTAGAGTTAGACTGCAAGCTCCTTGGGGCAAGAAAAATACAATGCCTTTATTTGTTATGTAAATTACTTTATAAAACTGGACACTATGTAAATAAAAAAGCCTCAACAGACTTATTTTGGAAGCTGCAGAAGCATCAAGATGAAAGAGGCGATATAATTAAAGATCTCCATGGTGGATTTTCTTCGTACGACAAGCAGCTCAAGTCGTATTTCAGACTGATCCTTAAGTTATGAGCCAATTATACCAGAAGCTAAAAAGATTAGCCTGCAGAGGAGCAACGAAGACTGACGATTTAGTTGAGCGTATGACAGCACCTCTGTGCTTACTCTAAAATAGTCAACATTATATTTTAATAGCGTTATACCACAATGGAAATTTTACAGCTGGAGGGAAAACGAATATTCATCAGCATTTAATATAAAGTGACACTAAGTCTACATATCCTCCCATCTCTAAAAATAGGCTCTGCTAGGAATTCATATTTCGTACACGATTCCAAAACATAAAAAGGTACATAAGAATCAAAGCTTGAATTTTGTACCGCAACGGAGCTGCCAAAACAGTATTTTATTTGTACCTCTACTTGCATACTGTGTATACTGAGAATTTAAAGCAATGTGCACGTTAACGTCTTTGCATGATTCTGACAGAAAATACTAAAACTTTAAAAAAAAAAAAGTATCAGTTGAAAGGACTACAGAACGGATGAGGACATGCTTTTTTTTTTTTAAAAAAAAACACACATGCATACATTTTTAGAAACTATTTGCAGGATGCTCTTCTGGACATTTTAGGTACAGGCTTTCTTTTGGAATTCATGGACACCCTACAATACAAATACACTTCATGCAACTTACTTCCCCTCCCCTTTTGCCAAACAGTGAAACATTATGGATGATGCCTGGCAAAAGCATCAAAACAAGCTATTTTTTATTTTTTTTTTCAGAGAACTAACAAACAGGCCGCAGGAAGGAGAGGCATCCTTTGTTAAATAACCTAAACTCATCTCTGTCAAGGAAGCCAGGTTTTCAGAAGAGCGCTGCAGCAGCACAGGAGAGCCAGGAGAGCGGGGGAAGCTGACAAACTGAATCGCTGACCTATTTCTCTTATCGTAAGGAAGATTGATTACAGCAAAATATTGCCCTGCTCGTTACGATCTGGTCATCATCAGTTTTATGCCTGGCACTTAAACCTACCCACAGCAAGCCATTTGGTATCCCACAGTTACGTTCAAGTAAATGCAAATGTGAATATCCTCTTTACTCATCCGGGGTATTTCCAATCCAGTTTTTAAGCGTAGACTTCAATAACGGCACCGATAATTCATTACCAGAAAGGAATTCTTCTGTATTGCCTCTGGAGGCGATAAAGCTTTTTCTGTATTACCATTTCTGCCTGTACGAATAATCCTGTCAAGCTCCCCTTCACACCCCACCAACATAATACTCCAAAGCAGCTAGGAACTTCAACAAATCTCTGCTTCACAACATTTTCACGGATGCTTCTCACTCCCTCCTGAGAGCAACAGCGTCCTTGACTTCTCCTCCTTTTACCTGTGGCATATGGAAAATCACGGTGTCCGCGATAAAGCTCTTTAGTTCCTATGAGGCACACCAAGAAACATTTAATAGCCCGAGATGCACGAAGGCAGGCAGCTCGGACGTCGGTTGTACTGTTGCAGGTCAGGTTATTTCAGATATATCCAATCTAATTCCCCTCGGTCTCAGACCTTCCCCGATCTCTGCAGTGAAACGGTCCTCGCTGCACATTACTGGTACAGACAGACGACTACGGAGGAAGAAAGATCACGAGCTTGAACCGCAGCCTGCTGAAATCCTTTCATTCCTGGGGAAGCAGGGCTCATCTGCCAGGGCATCTGCCAGCAAGACAAGCCTCAAGGTCACCGAGCTTGTTTGCCACATACCAGCAGCAGACAAGCGGGAGCTAAAGTAGGACATTTTTGATCAGACGCCCATTAAGCGGCTTGCTTTCATTTAGGCTTGCTTGAATCTTCCTTAAGGTGGGATCGAGCGTTTTAACTTCAAAATGTAATTTACTCTGACATCAGACGTTGTCCCTATTAAGGGACGTACTTGCTCCAGTATATTTCTCTTTCAATTATCACAAAAATCATTTAGGAAAGACAGGCTACACTGTAATCCCGAATCGCACTACGCTGACCTTCCAGGCTGGATCCAAACCCTGTCTTGGAAGCTGCCAGAACACCTGTGTTCCTAAGAGTCCCCCACGCCAGCCTCTGCATTTAACTTTACCGCAACAAACCAGAACCTCAACGGCCAACTTCAATCCGCATTTTCCACAGAAGACAGAGAAACTGCCCCCAGGCAAGGCATAAGAGTATAATCACCTAATGCGTAGCTCCATCTAAGTCCGCCCTAATTTTCATACCAGAGATCTCTTCATTTCCATTATCACAAAAATCATTTAGGAAAGACAGGCTACACTGTAATCCCGAATCGCACTACGCTGACCTTCCAGGCTGGATCCAAACCCTGTCTTGGAAGCTGCCAGAACACCTGTGTTCCTAAGAGTCCCCCACGCCAGCCTCTGCATTTAACTTTACCGCAACAAACCAGAACCTCAACGGCCAACTTCAATCCGCATTTTCCACAGAAGACAGAGAAACTGCCCCCAGGCAAGGCATAAGAGTATAATCACCTAATGCGTAGCTCCGTCTAAGTCCGCCCTAATTTTCATACCAGAGATCTCCTTCATTTCCCTACAGATGACTGCACCCTGTTAACTAGCCTGTCTCTAATTAACAACCCCACAGCTCCCATCGGTGGGTTTTGCTGTGATTTCCTTAGAACAACAGCCACAGAAGCAGACTTTCACATACAAAGTTGGCGTTGCTGCATCTAAAGCACAAGGATGCTCACCACCGCTAGTGCCATTACACCCCTCCACCAAATTTCTCTTTCACCCTATTAATTCTTCAGCAAGCAAAACCCCCGCAACTACCTCAGTTATTTAACATTAACTCTACAATCACTTCCAGGTGCGGGATCACTCCTGTAGCCTCGCACAATCTGGAAACGAAAGGAAGGGAGAGGCGAGGGAACACAGGTTTGCAGCTGACGCTACGTTAGCATTGCTGAGCAGCGCTCGCCTGAAATTAGTAACGCAAGCAGCATCCAGTTCAGCAAACGTCTTTGAGAGTCTTTTGAGATACAATTCCTATTTTTCACACTAAGACAGGGTAAAAGAGAAACTTCCTTTCTTCCCAGCAACCAAAAAGAGAAAGAACACTATTTAAAACTTTACATTAATACCATAACAATAGTATCTCAGCATTGCCAGCCAACAGACCGAGTCTTGCTACGAGATGCAGGAGAGTTTTGATCCCTGTTTTCAGCCTGGACTCATTTGTCGACATCCTTTTAATAGCTGCGGAGGTAACGGGGAACTACGTTGACGCTATCTCATTTTCAGGGTTTGGCAATTTCCTTCCTAGAGGAAGGACTCCAGCGCAAGTAAAGAAGTAATCGCTCCGTTCCACCGCAAACATGGCTGAAGTCAGTCACCAGCCACAGCCACCTGAACGGCAGCTCCTGCTGCTGCCAAAATGAAGGCTGCCATCCATTTTGCACCTAACTCGCTCCACGGACCGCTTCTGATACGGTGTTTAAAAACGTGGTTCAGGGGAGGGTTTTTTTCCTTCCAGAGCCTGGTTCGGTCTGCACCCAGTCCCTGCCAGACCTGCGGGGTTCTCCCCTCCCAGAATTTACACCGTCCTCTTTGCTCTCCATTGCTTTTCTTCCACCCGTTGCCAGTCCAGCCACGCAGCCTTCGCCCCCCCTGGCTCTAGCTGCACACCCCGGCCCCTCCGTCTGTCCTTCTGTCCCCCTTCTCCTCCCCCTCCGTGTCCTTACCGGTGACCTTCCCTCTCCCCCTCTGCTCCAAGGTCCCCGGCTCGGGCACCTCAGC